GCGGCAGCGCGTGGACAGGTTGAGGATGGCCGTGGCCGCCATGTGCGCCGCCTCCATGTCGTGCGTGTAGTCGAAGCTGCTCTTGCTGCACGTGCTGCTGGCGCTGCTGCCGCCGCCGCAGCTCAGGTTGCTGCTGCTGCTGGGCGCGTAGGTGCTGGTGCTGCTGCTGCTGGGGCTGGCGTCCTTGCAGTAGCGCTTCGCTGGGGAGACAGGGGACCGGGATGACTCGGGGCCCCCGCCCAGGCCCGCAGCAGCAGCAGAGCCCCCCGCCCGCCCGCCCGCCCGCCCTGTGCGTCCACACCTGTGCGACGGTGCCAAGGGGGACAGGGCGCCACCCAGAGCTCGGTCCTAGAGGAAAAAGCCTGCCTTCCCCCCTTTCCCTTTTTCACTTGTGTCTTTTTGGATGGGCAGAGCCGGGACTGGCGGGAAGTGCGCACCGTGTCTCCAGCAGGGTGCAGGGCACATTACGCAATCCGTTAAAGGCACACTCTTGGTTGGGGCTGGGCCCCAGGATGTGGGGGGTAAGTGGCCGCACCAGCCTGGTCACCACGGCCCGGGGGAGGGTCCCATCATGACCGCTCATCTGCTCTCGGGTGAGCGGTATGAGGACCCTGCTGCCCACGCATTCCTCTGGAGGCTGGCTGCTCTCTGCAGCCAGGAGGCGGCACCATCCTGTGCAGGTGACCGAGCTGCACAGGTCCTGGGCCCCCTGGGGACCCATGAGCTCCTGCACTGTAGGAAGTGGCATTCTGGCAAGGGTAAAGGGCAGGCCATGGGACTGAAACTCCCTTTCCCTCTGATTCTAATAAACGGCCACCCGGGTGAAGGGGCACAGCCCAAGGGCACAGACCCGCACACACCTGTGAGCTCAGGAAAACCAAGACAAGTGTTAAGGCACTCATGGTGCGCAGACGTCTGCGTGGCCCGCTGCCCCACCCCTTGTGTGGGAAGGGCTGTCCGCAGCACCAGCTTGGCTCTGCACAGCCAGGCTCCCTAACAGCCAGACAGGTACGAGGAGCAAGTGTGGTCTCCAGAGCAGCTTAAAAACCCCCTTTAGCACCAGAGTGGGGACTGGTCCAGATGGGCACAGCTCCTTAAAGGCACAGAGGGCACCTGGCCCAGAGGTTGGGGGCACACCTGTCCCTGCAGTGGGAGGAATCGCTCCCAGGGGAACCTCGAGGGTGTCTGGAGACCCCCCCACCGGGAGATGCCTCTCCCCACAGCACCCTGTCCCCTCTGTCAGCATCTGCTTCCTGAAGGGAGCTCAGCCCCTTCCCCGTGACAGCTCGAGGCCGAGGGGGAGCCAGGGATAGGGGTGCTCGGGCAGGGTCCTCATGGCCTCACCCCACCTGGGTAACGCTGGGGGTGAGCCACCCGTTGCTGAAAGTGGGGGAGGGACCCTGCAGCCTGCTGCTGCTCTCCTGTCCCCACGTTGTCATTACCGTGCCTGCGACCTGGGCACCACCCTCAGGTGCCCTCCGACCAGAGGAAGTGAACACAGCCTCCAGCCCACGTGGTCAGTCATCACAGCACCACCAAGAACTACCCCAAGGCACCTTATTCGGATACAAGTGAAAGAAGACCTAAGCTTTCACCGCTGATACACTTTGACTTTGGCAGAAGACTGAGCTTCCCTGGCTCTGAGGATGTGGCTCAGCAGTGCTCCGAGTGCAAGGCGGCCCCGGGGAGGCTGCTGGCTCCCGGGCCTCGTCGCAGCTCCTTGCATGGACGGGGGTCAGTTCTACACCCTCAAACCCGCTGAGCACGAGGGTTAACTTACAAGGGAGTTACTTT